AAATAAATAAATAAATAAATAAATAAATAAATATTAAAAAAAAAAAGATGTCACATAGAGACTCCCATACCCACCCCGTGAGTACTTCCTCAGGCCTCAAAAAGGGAGGAGCAGGACACAGAGGACTTACCACAGCAAACTCATCTCGGTCCAAATGTCCATCCTTGTCGATGTCACTGAGGTCCCAGACCTGCAATGGACAGACAGATACAAGGGGAGGAAGTACCTATAAAGTCTCACCCAGCACAAGCAACATCTGAGTTAATAGTGAATGAGGCCACAGCAAGCAGAGGCACTTAAGAAGCTGTGTACCTGTCTTTCCACACACCCCCACATACACACACACATACATATGTACACACACATGCACACACAAAGAGAGAGAGGGAGACAGGAGGGAGGGAGGGTGGGAGGGAGGGAGGGAGGGAGAGAAAGAAAGAAAGAAAGAAAGAAAGAAAGAAAGAAAGAAAGAAGGAAGGAGGAGGAGGAAGAAAAGGAGGAGGAAGAGGAAGAGGAGGAAGAAGGAGGAGGAGGAGGAAGAGGAAGAGGAGGAAAAGCATTTAAGAGCTGGTTTGTGACAAGAGACTATTGAGGGAGCGGTGGGGTACGTTGGGCGTCATGGAGGAGGGTCATCTTTCTATCTGTTGTTTCATTGGTTAAGTAATAAAGAAACTGCTTGGCTGGCCCTCATAGGTTAGAACATAGGTGGGTGGAGTAAACAGAACAGAATACTGGGAGGAAGAGGAAGTGAGCTCAGACTCGACAGCTCTGCTCTCTGGAGCAGAGACGCCATGCTCCCCTCTCCCGGGCAGACGTGAAAGCTCTGCTCTCTGAGGCAGAGGCATGAAGCTCAGACCCAGGATGGACGTAGGCTAGAATCTTTCCCGGTAAAACTGATGCTACACAGATTATTAGAGATGGGTTGACCGGGATATGAGAATTAGCCTGTAAGGGCTGGAGTTAATGGGCCAAGCAGCATTTAAAAGAATACAGTTTGTGTGTTGTTATTTCGGGGCATAAGCTGGCCAGCGGCCAGGGTGCTGGGGATGCAGCCCCGCTGCTCTTATTACAACAAGAGACTAAGGCAGGAGGATTGGAAGCTCAAGACCAGCCTGGAGTATACAGGTTATCTGTCGTGGTCTGAATGGAAATGGCCCCCATAGGCTCACATATTTGCATGCTTAGTCCTCAGCTGATGAGCTGTTAAGGATTAGGAGGTGTGGTCTTGTTGGAAGAGTTAGTTGTGTCACTGCAGGATAAATGCCCAAAGCAGGTCAGATCAAGTTTCTCCCTGCATCTCTGCCAGTGGATCAAATGTGTGCTCTCAACTACTGCTCCAGCACCGTGCCTGCCTGCCTGCCTGCCACCATGCTTCCTGCAGTGATGATCTCGGACTAACCTGAAACTGTAAGCAAACCTTAACTAAATGCTTCCTTTTTTAAGAGTTGCCATGATCATAGTGTCTCTTCACAGCAATATAGAACAGGGACTAAGACCCTACCTAAAAAGATCAAAACAAGAAATCAAAACAACCCTGCCACCCTGCAGCTCTCTGAAAACCATCCTCTGAGGGAGCTGAGGACCAAAGCTGAGACCTATACCCTTCCTAAAACATGTTCATTGTGCCTACAAAGGCTAGGATAAAAACCACATCCCAGGCAACTCTTTCAACTGAAAGCTGAGTCAAACTGGGGTCCTCTGCAGTTTTCTTAAGCCCTAAGACATCTTTCCAGCCCCTGTATCACAGATTTTAAAGTCTAATTTAAAATGTAACTGGAAATGCTGCACACGCCTGTAGTCTAGAACTTGACAGAGGCACATCTAATGAGCATCAGGAAATGATCTGAGAGCCACCGAGGACAATGTTTGCTGTTTTTAGGCTCTGCTGGAGGCTAGGGCCTTGGGCTCTGACTGAACACCCATGGTCCCTCTGTAGCAAGGCCTCACAGATGACAATAAGCTTGCCTGGCCCACATACACCAGGAAGCAGGCTGGCAGGATGAAGTCTTAGGCCACAGCCACATCCCTCTAAAGGAATCGTGGGGGGGTCTGGAGCCAAACACACTGCACTAATATGAACAAATCTGAGGTTCATTTTGATGAGGGGCTCCTGATGCAGGGTCCTGCTACAGACTGGGCTGGCCTCAAACTTTAGATCCTCCTACCTCAGTCTCTTGGGATTATAGGTATGCATGTCCACAGCCATCAAAACTAAGGCAGATAGATAGATAGATAGATAGATAGATAGATAGATAGATAGATAGATGATTGATGTGGGAGTGTCATATATCAATCTGTTGATTTCATTGGTTAAGTAATAAACACACTGCTTGGCCTGATAGGTTAAAGCATAGGTGGGAGGAATAGACAGAATAGGATGCTGGGCGGAAGAGGAAGTGAGGTCAGACTCTGCTCTGATCCCGGACAGCATGGACAGAGGCTAGAATCTTCCCGGTAAGCGCACCTTGGGGTGCTTACACACATCATTAGAAATGGGCTAGTCCAGGTGCGAGAATTAGCCTGTAAGGGCTAGAGTTCATGGGCCAAGCAGTGTTTAACTGAATACAGTTTGTGTGTTGTTATTTCGGGCATGAGCTAGCCAAGCGGCCGGGGTGTTGGGGACGCAGTCCC